CTCACCCAGGATACGTAGGCACAAGATGCGAATCTTGCCGAGTAAATTTAGGACTAACCCTTAGGTCTTTCAGTCACTCTATCCCTTATCAATATACCTCAAGCAGATAATGAAGTAAATAGTAAACTTTAAACAAAAGGTTCCTGTAGAGTACTACAGAAGTTTAGGGTGCTAGTACCTTCCCTAAACTTAACCAACCCCTTACCTAGGTCTCTCCCTGCATTGTGTTTACGATTCAAAAATAGGTTTTCTTTCTTTTGACCTTTTCCTTTGGATAAATCAAAGTCGGTTGTGAATCGAAAATTGTGATTCAAACTAATTAATAGTTTGATATCCTATTTCCACTGCAACACTTAGAAACCGACATCTTCAAATTCAAGCAGAATCTATGATTTCTCAATCTTGAACGCCACCTAGGACAAACAAATATTTCCACAATATTTTGAAATCTAGAAATAAATAAGCAGTATCAAACTTGCAAAGTAACAGACAAAGATGTCGAATCATCATGATAGGACATCTTGTCCAACATCTTGCTGTCAAGTTAGTTTTACCAAAATTAATTCCAATCTCAAAAGTTTGGACTTATCATATATATATATATATATATATATATATATATATATATATATATATATATATATATATATATATATATATATATATATATATATATATATATATATATATATATATATATATATATATAAAGACACACACACACACCCCTCCATGTCAGGAATGCACCACCTCAATTCATTCACAATTATTGTTCCATGGAGGAATGATGGTGTCGTCAATGGAAATTGATGCCTAATTCTGCCAAAGTTCACGATCATATCTTATTTCCTTCAAAAACCCAAAAACCAGATCGGCGAAGTAATATGCTAAGACAAAAAGGTAATTTCTAAATTCCACTCTCAAGAATCTCTATGAATACCATGAACTAGCACTGTCTTCAATCTTTATTGTCGATGAGATCATAAAAGAATAATCAAGAAAGGAGGAATCTACCTCTCATAGATCCCCCATCTCCGATGCAACGTTCTGTGCGCTCGCTATCACCGCCGTATGGAATCGTGAGGCATTGGACCTTCCATTTGGTAACAGAAGTTAGTGATTTGAGGTACTTCGAAGCCTATGGATCCCGAAATTTCCTTCCTCTTTGTGCCAATTGGATTCCTTCTCCAATGATTAGCTAGAACCTGCATCCACCAGTGCTTGGTTGTCCTTAAGGGCAATGAGCTTCTCCTCATAATTAATAAAAGGTTGAGACCTATTCATATTTTTCAAGTTGTGAGCTACCTTACGCTCTAACTTCTCTTTGAATGTGATATTCTTCCTCAAGCCATTTTTGAAAATCCATCACTTCAGGCTTTCGTTAGAGTGTCTCACCTCTACAACTACTTTTATAAAATAGTTGATATACACTCGCAAACTCTCTTTATTTTCTTGGGTGATCCCGCTGAGCATGACTATTGTTGTAGGTTGCCTCTTCTGGGCGGTGAAGCAAGCATCAAAATTCTCACACAAGTCGGTCCATGAATCTATGCTTCCTTCAGGCAGATATTTTAACCAAATCACACACGATTCGGTTAGAGTTAGTGCAAAGATCTTGCATTTCGTAGTGTCATCAACACGATAGTAGTCTAGACAATCGTCTACATGTTTAACATGCTCATTTGAATCTTCATTTTTATCATAACTTTGGAACTTTAGAGTATTTTCCGAAGATTTTGAATATGGCAATCCAGAATATGAGTAAAAAGAGGATGCTTGTTTTGCTCCTTACCCGGAGGTCAGTTCTCTGGTTCTTCCTCCTTTGGAGGGCGGTGGACCTCAAGAGGAGTGTGACTGCCCCTTCCACCTACATGATCGGGAGAAGGAGTTTGATGTTTCTGGATTCTTTGGTGGCTTGGAGATTTTAAAGCAGCTTGTCAGCGAGATACTTCCGGTTTAGGGAAGGCAATTTTGTTTCTCCGAGAAATGACCTCTTGAGCTGTGTTGATCTTTAGATTTTCCTGATGCAATCTTTCTTTTTAGGTGAATTAATCTTTCTTCTACAACTTGTGAATTCTGCTGCCGAACCATATTGTAAACGTTGTTCTGCATTTTGTTACCACCTTGTACGCCAAGATTAGCTTGCATCAATTGGAAGCCAAATATCACATTCAATTTAGGTATTTGATGGTTCTCCTAGTTGAAACTACTTAGCGAGTCCTAAGAATGTGAGAGGTTGCAAAAGGCCTTGAGATGTCCTAGGTTGGACATGGCCTTTAGGCGGCGGTGCATATGGTGAATCCACAAGGACTTGATCGCTAACGCTTTAAAGAATAGGCGTTGGCTCTTTAGCAGCTCGAGCAGTAATGGATGTGTCTGCTTCACGTTGTGCAGCGGAGCAAGTAGCTTTAGAACCCACCATTATTGATGGATCTAGAAGGAAATATGAGAAATAATGTTAATCTTTAATAAGAGAGGATCAAGCACGAAAATCTAAAGTTCGAATTCATGAGATCTAAATTTCTAGGTCAAAGAAGCTTCAATTAAGTGAATCAAGAGATGAGTGTTTGAATGTGAAAAACACAAGAATCATATGTCGATTCCCACTAATGGCGTCACTATCTCGAGCGAGATCCAGAATTGATGGGTGAACTATGGATGTAGATCGCAATGGTATACTCAAGCTTCCAATATAGTAGAGAAGTGACTGACATGTAAGATTAGCATTTCAACGACCAAGTTAGCATGAGAGTAAGATCCAGCGAATGAGATTTGAATTTAGATTACTTGAAAATAGCGTGTTCTCCCTTTATATAGTAAGGCAGTTATAATAGTTTGATAATCTATCGACGGGAAATGCGGAAATCCGTCCAATTGATCTTTAAGTTAATATTATCACATTCCTTACTTAGGATAGTACATTTTCCTTTTACTTGACTCAATGAATCATTTTGTCTTATGTAGGGATGGTAAAAAAATCCGTATATGCGGATAAAATCTGTCATGGATATAGGACGGGTAGCTTAATGGATATCCACGGTCACGGATGAAATAAATGGATATTTAAATACTCGTTTGTTAATGGATATGGATATGGGTTTAAAGGTATCCGTACCCGCGGATATCCATATTTGTTAATAAATTATAAAAATCATTTAAATATCATTAGTTTATTATACCTTATCTTTTCTTCTTCTAAAAAAAATAGTTTTCTTATTTTTTTTTAATAATTTTCTTTGAAGAAAACCTTTAACATTTCATTCAAATTCTATTAGTCATTTCATATTTAAACTCTTCAATACTTCATACCCCACTTTAACAATTTCACAGTCCAACCAATTAGTGTCGTCATTCCTCTATCAAATCAGTGTCTCTCTTCCTACTCCATTGTCGTCCGCTCTTTCATCATAACTCACAATCACAATATTTTTTATTTGTTTGATTAAAAATGAAATGTATGAATAATATGTTTAGATCTAATTATGTTTTGGTGAATAAGAAAAAAATTAATGTGATAAAATTTTATTCTTAAATTAAGAACGAATTGTATGGATGTTATGTAATAATAATTTGTTGTGTTTTAAAAAGAAGTTAAATTTTTTTTTCAATAATTTTTATAAAAAAAATATTATCCATAAATATCTGTAAATATATGCGGATTATCCGTTTAACGGATACCCGTATGAATATAAGACATATATAAATATCATATTTATCAAACAAAACAGATACAAATATCATAATATTCATTCTCATAGATATCCATTTACATCCATAATTTTAAAAACTATTATTATTAGACCCTCGTACAAAATACAATTTTAAAAGACAAATAATAAAAAATAATAAAAAAGTTGTTATTACGTATACGTTTATATTTGAGTAAGATTTTCATGTATCCTAAAATACATTTAACGTGAAATTTAAAAACGTTCTTTTATAGCTTTGGTGACCCTTTGATTTGGGTCCAAACAATCTAAGAGATGCTTATAATTTTCGCAGTGCTTGATTTTGTCTTAAATTAAAGGAAAATATCAAATGTATTTATTTAAGTTTGAATTTACTATTTTAAACTTTTTATTTATATTTAAAAATAGAGGATTATATTTTCATTTCTTACCTCCCCTCTATATACTTCTAGAATTTTTGGTCTTTATGTAAAATTCTACAATTTTCAATTAAATTATTTTTTATTTTTATTTTATTTACATTCTTTTGTAAATTTTCTATCTTAAGATATACGTAAATTCCTAAAATTGATACCATAATTTATTGCTAAAGTGTACTACTTTATTTCGTTTTTGTAATTTAGTCAAAAAGATTAATATTTATAATAAAAAATCTCCATTACTTTTCATAGTCATCTAGAACAATAAATTGCACAAACAATTAAACCATTGGGAATATGAATTGCTTAACACCAAAGGGATTAGAATTAAAACCACTGGCAGTAAAAACCCGTTCCACCGTTGGAAATAATTAGCACATTAATTACCCTACACTGTTCCAAAATCAAAAAATGAAAATCACACCAGATTAGATGAATTTAAAATTAAAACTCTAGAGAAAAAAATGCACATTGTTTTCATCACCAATTTTTAATTCACATGCATTTTTAATACACATCACATGGTTCAACTTTCTTGTCCAGAGACACTTCACAACGCGTAGGAGTTTTGGGAAAATCGTCTCTCTATCGTGACCGTACACGTGTCACAATCCTGTGTAACCAATTTTGTTTTTCTCTCTCTAAAATCAAAATACACGTCTTAGAACTTAGAAGTGTTGACTCTTTTGGAATTAAGTCAAATTTTTTCACTCGTTTCTTTGTACTTGATTTATATATAAATACTTTCACTCTCAAACGCAGCCAAAACAACAAACGACAGAGATTTGATTCGTCTTTTAAAAAAAACATTTTCTGAGTTTTCTGTTTCGATTCCAACAACAAACGACACAACAACAAAAAAACAACACCGTACTAGTGTACTGTGAAAACAATGGTGAAGACCAACGTGGAACAACAACCTGCGGCGGAACGAAGTGATTCGGTTTACCGAGGAGTGAGGAAGAGGAAATGGGGAAAATATGTGTCGGAGATCAGACTACCGAACAGCCGTCAGAGGATATGGTTGGGTTCTTATGACTCTGCTGAGAAGGCGGCGCGTGCGTTCGACGCGGCTATGTTTTGCTTACGTGGCAGTGGTGCTAGGTTTAATTTTCCGGGTAATATTCCGGAGATTGCTGGAGGAAGGTCTATGACTCCTTCTCAGATTCAAGCCGCTGCAGCCCGTTTTGCAAATGCGGCTAGTCGTGACTCGGATCCGGGTCGACCCGATAATAACGCTGTCGAGGTCGATTCTTCATCGTCGGAGGGTGCTGCATTGTTGTTGCCTATGGAATCACAGTCTCCGGCGGTATCCGATTCGACTTTTCAGACAGATTGTGATTCGAATCAAAACGGGTTGTTTTCAGAGTTGTTTGCGGTAAACGGGTCGGGTAGTGGTGAACTTGATTACTCGGTTTTTCCTAGCTTTGATGATTTTGAAAGAGATTTTTATGTCCCGGAGCTGACAAATTATGATTATGGAGTAGAGAATTTGGATGGATTAATTATTAACGACACTTTTTTATGGAATTTCTAAGAATTGAAAGGATAGGTATAGGGTTGGGTCGGGTCGGGTCGGTTTGTTTAGGATAGTTTTATTATGTCCAAATAGGCTAATTCCGGATCAACAATTCGGATTTGGGTTGGTCAATTTTTTATAGATCAATCCTTTAGCTAATTTAGTACCTATAATAATTTTTTACAGAGTGATTCATAAGGTTTTAGTTTTGTGGATATGATTCCTGAATCACTTGTGAAGTTCTAAGGTTATGTAATTTTTATTATTATAGTAATTTTACATAATTAGAGTAAATTAATTAACAAAATTTATATTTTTTGTTTGATAGTGATAATTTAGTCATTCATTTAACCTCATTTTAATTGAAAAATATTTAAAAAAATATTAATAGTTCTTGATTAATTTAGTCATTCATTATTTTATTAAAGAATATTAGTAAAATGAATAACAAATAATTCTTAAATTGAATTATAATTTATACTTCTCCAGTCTTATAATGAGTAATCTATTTGAAATATATATAAAATCTTAAATAAAAATTCATTTTAATTTTTAATGCACGTTTATTTAATTATAATCTTTAATTAACACTACTTTTATTATTTTTAGTAATTAATATGAAGTATTATAATAAAAATATCATTTTATGTTTCATTTATTTGTTTTTTTAAATCTGAGTTAAATGAACAAGTGAATTATTCATTGAGGTTGGGAAAGAAAATAGTATAAGAAGAATGATAGTTTTGAAAAAGACCAACCAACCCTTCTGCCAGCATATTTTCATCTATCTAAATTAGGGTTTTTTTTTTTTTACAAAATTTCAATTTGATCTTTGTTCTTTTAAAAGATATGCTTTTATGAAAATTTTTGTTATACTCACAGAAGTAAGAAAAGTATGAAAGTGTTTATGCAGATGATGAAAGTTGTCCGGTTAAAAATGGAGGTCTTTCAAATGTAAAAATTAAACTATTGTTGTTAGAGTATTTACTTATCTAACGCCTTTATAAGAAGAAAAAAAAAATACTCATTTTTTAAAATAAAATTAAGCATATTTTTTTATAAAAAAAAATACATTTTTTAAGGTTATAAATTTGTACGGAGTGCTGTAAACTATTTTTATGAAAAACAGTTTTTGTTTAAAAATATTTACTATATGTTTTTTTATAAAATATAAAAATATATTTGTTTTATTTTTATAAATATTTTTTTATTAATGTCTTGGTTCTAAAAACTAATTATATTTTTACAAATTCATAAAAATATTTTAATAATATTTTTTATATATAAAGTAATATTAATAAAAAAAGTTATTATTATTTTTATAATTTCAAACATATCTACATAGAAGAACAATACTAAATTTGTTAACAATTTACTTTTTTTTTTCGAAAGCAATCACTCGTTTAAAAGATGAACTTTAAAAGTTAAACTATTGTTATTGGAATATTTGGTTATCCTCTCTCAAATTTGAATAGATTGGGTATTGAATTGTTTATATCTATAATCTGCTTTCTATTTTTAATTAAAATATTTTTTATGTGTTTTTAAATAAAAAAAATTATAAACGTGTTGGTTCAAAAAACTAATTATATTTTTGCATATTCATATCATATTATTCTTATTTATAAGTACTAAAAAATTTATAATTTATAATAATAATATATATATATATATATATATATATATATATATATATATATATATATATATATATATATATATATATATATATATATATATATATATATATATATATATATATAAAAGAAAAATACTAAATTTTTACAGATTTCACTGACATTTTTATCATATGTTTTTAAAAAAACAAAACCAAATTTATAAAGAAGAAAGAAACTTAAATCAATTTCTATCTACAAAATTGTTACCTTCATCCAATATTTGTTAGATCTATGAAGCATATTTAGTGAGAATAGATAAGTTATATAAGAATGTGAGAATAAATAAGAACTATTAAATTTAAAAAGGAAAGGTTGAGATTAAAAAATATTTTTAATGATTTCTGTTTTCTCTTATTGACACATGATTTAGTGAAAATCATGATTTAATCTCAACATTTTTTTTAAATATGATGGTTATTATTCATTATTACATTCTCATATAAATTATTCATTCTCATTAGATATGTCTATATATATAAAAGTTTTTATAACTTACTCAATAATCATAACCTTTAAATTAAATTTAACCGAATGGTTATAAAAAAAATGTTAATTTAACCACTAGATTATATTCAATTTAAAGACTATGATATAGAGTAAATTAAAAAAATTTACTCTTGAAATAAGTTAATTTCACTCATATATATATATATATATATATATATATATATATATATATATATATATATATATATATATATATATATATATATATATATATATATATATATATATATATATATATATATATATATAATTTAATGAGAGTACTATTTTATATGAGAATGATAAGAATAATCATAGTTTATAAAGAAAAATCATAGTTTATATATATATATATATATATATATATATATATATATATATATATATATATATATATATATATATATATATATATATATATATATATATATATATATATATATATATATATATATATATATATATATATATATATATATATATATATATATATATATATATATATATATATATATATATATATATATATATATATATATATATATATATATATATATATATATATATATATATATATATATATATATATATATATATATATATAACTTACTCTAAATCATAGTTTTTGAATTGAATGTAATATAATGGTTAAATTAGTTTTTTACTTAATTAACTATTTGATTGGATTCCAAACAAAGGTCATGATTTGTAGTAAGCTTAAAAAACTTACTCATGAAATAAGTTGAACTCATATATATATATATATATATATATATATATATATATATATATATATATATATATATATATATATATATATATATATATATATATATATATATATATATATATATATATATATATATATATATATATATATATATATATATATATATATATATATATATATATATATATATATATATATATATATATATATATATATATATATATATATATATATATATATATATATATGATTCAATTGAATTTTAATTAGAAATTTAAACCTTGAATTAATATTTTTTAAATTTAATATATAATTTGATTTTAATTACAATACTACAATATTTCATAAAATATATTAGTCTTTATATAAGAATAATAATCTTCTTTATTTTTTTAAAATGAAATGTTAGTCTTATTTTGTACCACTTAAAGAGTTGTTATTATAATAATAATTTATTTACTATGTAATAAAAGTACAAAAGATAAACATCATGGCAAAATAAACTACTAATTTAGAAAAAGAAAAAAAAAGTCATTTTCATTTATTTAAATAGGGAAAAAAATTATGTTTCGTTAATTGTTGGATAGGTGTCATTTATTCAAAATATAATTTATATTATTACGTTCATAATAGAAAATTAAAACAAAAACAATATTCTATAAGATACAAAGTTTTATAGTGATCCAAATATTTTTATAAACAATGCATAAACATAAATAACATTTGTATATGGAGAAAAAACATATTATTTATTAAAATAAGATAAAAATATGTGTCATTTATTAAAATTTATATAATTAAATAATTATTGGATAAAAATTTCATGTAAATACTAAAAAAATATGTATTTCTTATTCAAATATAAAAAAATATGTTTCACTTCTTGAATTTTCTACCATTAAAATAATAATTGATAAAAGTGTATTATTAATGTAAATACGAGGTAAATATATATTATTGATTCAAAGAGAACAAATATATATTACTGAGTCAAAATACATTTTTGTTTTATTCATTCTCAATTCATAAAAAGAACCAAACCAAAAACAATATTTATTAATTGTAAAAGTCTAATTATTTTAGACAACAATAGTTTTATATATATGAGAACAAACTTTTTTTATATACAGAACAATCAAATTTATTATTAATTTAAATATTTTTATAAATGGTGTTGAAATAAACATATTTTTTATATAGGTAAAAAATGTATTATTGATTCTAATATTTTTATAAACGATATTATCTTAATATAAGAGAAAAAATTTACCATTGATTAAAATATTATAATAAAGGGTGTCTAAATAAAAATAATATTTTTATACCAAGAAAAAATATATTATTCTAAATACTAGAGAACTATTTGTTGTTTATTAAAATTTATATAATTAAAATAATGCTTGCATATTTTTATAAATAATTCTTAAATAAAAGTAATATTTGTATATTAACAAAAATTTATTGTTAATCTAAATATTTGGCTTAATTATGATTTTGGTCTCCCCTATTTTAGCTAATTTACGAAATCAGTCTCTCTATTTATTTTTTTAACAGTTTGGTCCCCCATATCTATTTTTTTATTCAAAAAAAGTTGTTGTGTACTATTTTTTAGATATGTGATATATTTTTATTGACTTTGTATAAGAAAAATTAATTATTCATTACATTTTTTACGATATTTTATTCCTTCAGCCGTCTTCTCTGGTCGTCTTCTTCATTCACCAAAAAATACTCTCTATGTTCTCTCTTGTTCAAAAAGTATGCCACATATACAAAAAAAAATGACAATTCAGTATTTTTTAGACAAATAATAGACATGGAGATCAAAACTGTTTAAAAAATAAATAGGGAACTGATTTTGTAAATTGGTCAAAATAAGGAGACCAAAATTATAATTTAGCCTAAATATTTTTAAATACAAAAAGTTGTGTTTATAATTTAAATATGAGAAAAATATGTATCACTTATAATTAATAAAATACATTCTACAATATATTTATTTATTGGTTGAATACGTGTACAAAACCGTGTGTACGCACGAATATTTTATTAATTTAATTAAAAGAATTGATTTAAACTCATTAACCAAAAATATTAAAATTTTCTAAAAGATGCTATTTTGA